GCCCAACCGCGGCGCGGCGCTGGCGCACCCGCCGCGCCGGGCCGACGCGCTGCGCGCGCTGGGCCTGCAGCCGCAGACCGCGGCGCTGGACCTGGGCGACGTCGGCGCCTGGGCCGCCGCGCCGAGCCTGCGCGCGCTGCCCGCGCACGAGCGGCTGGCCGCCTGGGTGAGGAAGCTCGGCGCCGCGCCGGCCGTCGCGCGCCTGGCGCTGCGCGCGGAGGCCGGCGGGCAGGTGCTGGGCGGCGCGCTGGCCACGGGCGCGGCGCAGGCCCTGGTCGCGGCCGCCGGCCTGGCCGCGCGGCACGACGTCCGCGAGGTTGTCGTGGAGCTGGTGCGCCCCGGGGTCAAGCACTTTGTCGTGTCGGTGCTGGGCGCCGAGGGGCGCGACCCCGTGGCGCTGCCAATCACCCAGGTGGGCCACTACGACCTGCTGGAGGAGATGGTGCGCGCCGACCTGGCACTCCACGCCTTCACCGCCGTGCGGCAGGTCGGTGGGTGGGGGGGTCTGGGGGGCGACGTCTCACTGTACACTGGCGCTGTGAGCGGCGGGGTACGCTGCACCTGGACACCCTGATCAGAGCGGGAAGTGGAGGGCCAGACCGGCTCAGGGTCGGCCCATGAGGCTGGAGGGTGTGGTTGACCGAGGGTCGCAAGGGACTGGGGCGGACGTCACGGCCGAGGCCCTGGGTCCCCGGGCCGCCCTGACGCACAGGAAAGTTCACGCTCGTGCTGCTGCCACCCTCCTTCCTTCCTCTTTCCGTCACGCGACACACCCCTCACCCTCTCAACCCTCTCGATCTCATTCCACAGGGCGCCGACCCGGGGGAGATCGGGGAGGTGGTGTCGGCGCTGCGGAGGGAGGCGGCCGTGGACCCCTGCTACCTGGGCGGCCCCGCGCGCCCCACCCAGGAGCTGCGCCACTCCACGCCCGCGGCGGATCTGGCGGACGAGGTGCAGGCGCGCGTGCGCGCAGCTGCCCTGAAGCTGTACGCCGAGCTGGGCCTGCACGGCCCAGCCCAGTTCCGCGGCTGGGTGACCACGCCCGGAGGGGGTGGGGAGGAGGAGGAGGAGGAGGTGGAGGTGCACGTCCCCGCCCCCGCCGAGCTGGAGGCGGTGCGGAGGGCCGGCGCCGACGCGCAGGCGCGGCGGCCTCGGGCCTTTGGCGACCTGCTGGAGTTTGATGGCCTGGTGCGAGCGGAGCCGGCGCAGCGTGCCCCCGCGCCCGAGTCCATCACCCCGCTGCGCATCGTGGGGTCCACGGCCATGCAGGCGGCGGCGGCCAACCCGGAGCTGGCGCGCGCGATGTTGCGCGAGGAGTTGACCGAGGACCGGCCCTCCCGCGCGCGCTACGGCGCCTGGCAGGGGCTGGAGCTGGACGACCGCGTGGCCGTGGGGGGCGAGGCGGCGGAGGAGGGGCCGTGCGAGGAGGACGCCGTGGCGGGGCTGGCCACGGAGGAGCCCCTGCCGCCCGTCGTCGAGCGCCTGGTGCCGCCGAGCGAGCTGGACGCCCTGCCCGCCCTCTGCGCGCCTCCGGGCGACGGCGCCGGCGCGCATCGCATCGGCTTCAGCCGGCTGACGCTGGGCCTGGACCTGTCCGGCGCGCGCTCGATCTGGCTGCAGCAAGCCGCGGCGGCGGGGCTGGCCCCGGGCCGCCTGGTATGCGCAGGACTGGCCCAGGGCGAGCTGGACCCTGCTGCGCTGGCGGGCGGCGCGGAGGGGGGGACGGTCGGCGCCCTCGCAGCAGGCGCCGCCACCCGCGGCGGGCAGGTCGCGGCGGCAGCTGGCCAGGGCGGCGACGACGACGGTGCCTCGCCGGGCGCCTGCGTGCCCGCCGCCGCACCCTGGCCGCCGCAGGACTGGGCGGCGCAGCTGCGGGGCCTGGGCTCCTTCCTGGAGAACCTGGAGGTGGACGATGGGAGGGGGTTCGAGGCCGCCATGGCGGCCGCCGGCGTGGAGGTGCCGGCCGCGCCGGGGTCCGCGCCGGCGCTCCCGGACTCCTACGACGCGCTGCTGGACGAGCGGGAGGGGTGGGACGAGCGCGAGACCATCTGGGGCGGGGGCAGCGTGGAGGTGCCGGCCGCGCCGGGGTCCGCGCCGGCGCTCCCGGACTCCTACGACGCGCTGCTGGACGAGCGGGAGGGGTGGGACGAGCGCGAGACCATCTGGGGCGGGGACAGCGTCTGGGTGTCGGGGCGGGAGGGGTCCCTGCTCCCCCGCCCCGAGGACGCGGGGCCGGGCGACGCCGGCGCCGGCGAGGCATGGAGCGGGGAGGGCGGCCACCAGGCCACGCCGCCGGACCCCGCTCCAGCCGCGCGCACTCCCCTCTGGGTCCTGTTTGGCGGGGACGGCGCGGGCGGCGAGGCCAGCCTGCGCTCGGGCCTGGAGGCCGTCGCGGCGCTGGGGCAGACGGGGGAGTACGACGTGCGCTCCTTCTTCCTGGAGCCCTGCAACGCGGGGGAGCAGGCGGAGGGCCGGCGCTCCGCGCTCCTGCAGCGCCGCCTCCAGATGCTCAAGCTGGGGGCGGACGACGACGAGCTGCTGCGGGAGATGGGGCCCCTGCATCCCACCCGCATCAAGTGAGCTGGGGCTGGTGTTTGATGGGGGGGAGTCGTCTTGCTGGGGTTTCCAGGGTCCGGAAGGGAGGGCAATCTTGCTCCATGAGTGTCTGACAGGGGCCTGGAAGGCAAGGGACAGCTGTCGTGTTGCTCATGCATCCATTGTTGGACCTCGTCAGTCCACCTCACGATCACGACCACACGTTCCTCCACACACAGCATGCCACCAAAATCAGAGCTGGTGGCCCTGCAGCGCGGCGTCTGGGAGCTGACCGGCACGGGCCTCCTGCGCCAGACCCCCGCCGAGCTCCAGCACGCCTGCGAGGTGGGGGAGGTGCTTTACTGGCCATGTGGCACTTGTACTGCTGCTCCTGTGGTTGCATGGCCACTGCCCGCCAGGGTCACTGTCAGGAGTGAGTGCCGTGCAGTCCAGGCCGCCGGCCAGCACCGCTCTTTTGACCCTCCTTCGCCAGCTCTGTTCCGACCTGGCAGGCCATGACAGTCTGTCTGGTTCATTTCCCTGTTCCCCACACCCCCCACCCACCATCACCTCTCGCAATCCCCTCGTCACCGTGTCCTCCCCACCGCCTCACACCAAAACAACAGAGGGCGCTGGCGCAGTACAACACGCCGTGGAGCCAGAGGGGCCCCGACCGGCTCGTCCCCGGCCAGGCCGCGGCCTCGCAGGCCGCGCAGGAGCTGGTGCTGGGTGGCTGGGCGGCGCCCGACGAGGCGGCGGCCATCTGGGGCGCGGGGCTGGAGGCGGGGGAGCGGACGCCCCAGCCGAGCTACCGCTTCCTGGACCGCTGGGCGGCCGCCGCCCACGAGGCCGGGGCCGTGGTGGTGCTGGCCTGCCAGGCCCAGCCTGTTGCCCTGGGGCCGATTCAGCGGGTGCTGGAGGGCAAGGGCGTGCCGTGCACGCTTTCCAGCTCCGCCACCCTGGAGGCGGTCACGGACCGCGCCGTCATGATGCGCCAGGTCAGCGTCTGTTTGAGCGATGGGACGGTGGTCGATGGCAGGGGTTTCAGAGATGTGAATGGCAGGATGGGGGTGCATACTCTGGATGAACGAGGAAACAGGTGGATGGCCTTGCGGTTCAGGAATGAGCAGGGATCTGTCTCTGCATGCCCCCCCGCACCCCTGAGAGCACTTGCCCAAACCCCCCACCCCATGCCCACTCCTCCAAACTCACAGCTGGCCGACCTGGAGCCGCACGGCGTGTCTGCGGCGCCCTGGCACAAGATGTCCCTGGCGGAGCTGAGCGCCAAGGTGGAGGGCGAAGCGGAGGCCGACGCGCTGTTTGACCAGCTGCGCGGATTCCTGGGCGCGGGCGAGGCGGACCTGGTGCTGCGCCCCGCCTGTACCACGCGCGGCCCAGAGCTGGGCCAGGTCACCATCACCTGCGGTGCTGACCTGGTGATCGTGGCCGCCGCGCTTTCCCAGGGCCGCGAGGCCATCGAGGCGGGGGAGCTGGGGCAGGGCGACGGGGTGCGTCTGCCGCAGCCGCCGCCCAGCCACGTGCTGCTGGAGCCGGACGTGGCGGTGGAGGACCTGATCCTGATGCGGGAGCCGGAGGGTGGGAGTGGCGATGGGAGCGGCGGACACGGAGCCTGGAGTCGTGGGAGCGTGTCGGCGCGGCTGGCGCTGCCGGAGGGGTGGGAGGAGGCGGAGCGCTCCCTTCCCCCGCCGGACCCCGCCCAGCCCGGCGCGCGGCGCCACCCCGCCGCGCGCTTCGTGCACTGGCCGCCGGGGGAGCCGTCCTGGGTGGCCGTGCGCGCTTGCCTGGTGGGCGGCGCGGGGCACATGGTCTGCCTGGGCCCCACGGCCGACGTGCTGGAGGTGGCGCCATGCCGCGCGGGCCTCCCGCGCGCCACGCGTGAGGCCCTGACCCACGTCTCGCGCCTCGCGGCGGAGGAGGCGCGCGCCGCAGCGCGCGCCCTGGGCAACGCCGCTGCGGAGGTAGCGGATCTGGGGGACGGGGCGGACGCGGAGGCCGCTGACGTGGAGGCTTCCAGCGACGAGGAGGAGGAGGCCGCGACCGTGGTAGGGTGCTACCAGTTCACGCCGCCGCCCGAGCGCTGGGTGTCGGGCGAGGCGGCGGCGCAGGCGCGGCTGCGCCTGCAGCTGGTGGCGGGGCGGCTGGGCCTGTCCGGCGCCGCCTCCATGGAGGCCTTTGTGCACACGGCCACGGGGGAGGTGGTGGTCACGGAGGTGGACCCGCTGCCAGACCTGTCGCTGGGGGGGCTGCTGATGAAGCAGGCTGCTGCGGGGGTGCCCCAACCCCTCACCCCGGCCCAGGTCTGGCGGGAGGTGGTTTGCGCCGCGCAGCAGGGCGGCGGGGGGGCGGGGGGCGCGGGCAGCGCGACCCAGGGCGAGGCCGACTACGGCTTCTTCGACGTGGCCGACATGGCAGGTGGGTGGGTGGGTGGGGGTTACCTTCGGAGAGCAGGACGGGCCTGAGTCAAGGGGATCGCCTTGTGACGCAAGCATGGTCTAGCTCAGCCTCATTCCTGCGCTCAGTCCGCCGACTTGCGGGCAGGTTGAGATGAAGACTCGCCACTCACCCTCACGAGCATCCATGCAAAACTCCGCAGACGACGACCTCCTGTCCATCGATGCGGCTGCCCAGGCCCAGCAACCCGTCCAGCAGCGGCAGGGCGCCGGGCAGACCTGGGAGGACGAGGGCCCCTCGTGGCAGGACCCGTCGGAGTTTGGGGCAGAAGCCTTCCTGTGATGCAGCCGCGCCCTTTTTCCGAGCCTCAGCCCCGATCCTGCATGGGTTCACTCTGTCATCAGCTCCATGCCTGAGCCCCTATTCTTTCCAGTCAAATCATCCCATGTTGCTAATCGCTACCTGCTGGTGGGACATTGAGCCCCTCCTGCTAATCTTCAAACAGAAGTCCAGACCTAGGGTGACAAGGCGATGCTCCGCAATGGATTCATACAACGATCCTCGAAATGGGGAAGGGAAAAGAAAGGGAGGTACAGCGTCAGGTGAGAACGAATCGTGACATACAATTGGTATGCACCGGAACAGGGCACGGCGCAGGATGGCCAGGGGGCGACAGGAGGCAAGGGCAGTGTACACTAGCGGCGGCTAGCTGGGGGCAAAGCGCACGCGCCGCGCGTCGCCCTTGGGGCTGGACAGGCCGGAGGGGCGCGCCCGGGTCGCCACGCCGCCGCTCAGCCGCGAGCGGGAGAGGGAGGTGTTGAGCCCGCTGGGTCGGAGGGAGCCCAGGGACCCGGTCTGCAGCGAGCCAAGCCCACCCAGGGGATTGCCTGGCGTAGGAAATGGCCACGGGATAGGAGAAAGGGTGCATGTCAGACAGCATCGCTGACAGATCACGTCCCTGGCGCTCCGGTAGCGGCCATCCTGTCCTGTATGAGAGCGTCACACCCGTCCGCTTACTCTCGACAACCAAACATCCGTGACACAGCCTCGCACCTGCAGTCCGGCTGGCCCGCAGCTCTGCGCTCAGCGCGGCGCTCTGCCGGTCCTGGGAGGCGCTGAGCTTGGCGGCGACGGCCGCCTCGGCACCAGGCTGCCTGGGCTCCTCTGGGCCGCCGGCCCCCGGTCCCACGGCTGACGCAGGGCTGGGCGCGTCGTCGAAGAGGTCAGCGAGCACGTTGTAGTTGATCTTGCTGGAAAGCTTGCGGTTGTCCAACATGCGCATCGCCGCCTGGAGGTGGGTGCAGGGTGCCGGGGTGGGTGACGCGGAGGGGGAGCTGCAAGATGGCAAGTGCATGCGGAGAGATGAATGCATGCCACTCCTGGTCGACTCCATGACAAGGCTCAGAATCATGGCATAGTTTCTGTGTCTTCATCCAGTACCCACCCCCTCCAAATCCCCACATCCCTCCACCCTCCCAGCAACCCACCTCCTGCGGCGTCTCGGCGGGCGGCAGCGCCGACTCGGCCCGGGTTTTGCTCTTGGAGCCGAGGGGCCGCCCCCGACTGCGCTTGTACGCGACGCCTGCCGCCTCGGCGGCCTCCTGTGCGGCGCGCTGCTCGGCGGCCGCCTTCTCCGTGGCTGCCGCCACCGCCGCCTTGGCCGCCTGACGCTCCAGCCAGTCGCGGTTCATCATGTTCCAGATCTCCTCCTTGAACGCCACCTGGGAGTGCCAGGGGTGCATGGCTCATGCCGGGTTGGAGAGGTACAGAGGGACGGTACTAGACCGTGTGGCCCCCCACTGGTTCTCAAAGGGAGGCCCCAGCGCCCCGGCCTCCTTTCCAGGACTGTGTCAAGTTCACTCCAAGGGAGTGGCCTGAGAATGTTGGTGGAATTGCCATAGGTCCCAACACCCAGCCCCACCTCGGTGCTGTCTGCAATGTACATGTCGATGTCGTCGTCGGGGATGTCAGATAGGGCGCCGTCCTGGTCCCCGTCTGCCCTGGCCGCCGCGTCGCCGGCCCCAGGGGGCAACAGCATGAGCTCCGCGCCACTCACGGTTGTCTGGTCGACGCAGCTTGACAAAGGCTGAACTGCTCTGCCACTGGCCGGGTCCCCGCCAGCGTCGACTCTGCCGGGCAGAGACGCAGTCCCGCCTGACGCTCCATCAGCGCTCTGCTCTGCGTTCGAGGCTGGGTCTGGATTCATCCCCGACTCCCCATCGCCGGCTGCCTGCCTTCCCCCCCTCTCCCTGGACGCAGCTGTCGCCTTCCTCGGCTTCCAGCGCTGGAAGACGGCGCGGGGCCGTTTCGACTGAGCGGACGCCGGCGAGGTCTGCGGGGCGGCTCCCTCGGTCGGCTGGGCGCCGGCCGTGCTGCTCGAGGGGGCCGAGCCTGGGCCTGGCGACAGTGCCCCCCCCAGCTGAGGGGCGGCGGGGTCGGGCACCGACCCGCGCTGCGCTGCTTTGGCGCCCTGGCCGGCCGAGGGCGATGGAGTGGCTGCTGTCGCGAGCCCGGCCGTGGCCAGGCCCCGACTCCGTGTCACCCGGTCGCCTTGAGCACCAGGGGTGCCGGCACCGTCGAGGACGACCTCCCGGGCACTGCGCTCCTCCGCGCCTGCCTCCTCGTCGCCGCCCATCCCTGCCTCCCCGTCCTCGTCCTCGTCTCCGTCGCCGCCATCCAGGAGGCGCCTGAAGGGCCGCAGCTCGGCCGCCCGCAGGGCCTGGGCCATGTCTGCCGCCAGCGCGGCCTGCTCCTCGGTTTCCTCCCCCTCCTCCTCGGGGGCCGGAGGCGGGGCCTCCAGGGCCAGGATGGCGGCCTGCTGCTCCCGCTCGCGAGCCTTGGCAAAGGCGGGCGGGTTGGCCCCGCCGTGCAGGCCCCCCGTCCGCTTGAGAAAGTCAACATAGCAGGTCGCGCACATGCCGTGCGCAAACGGCGGGTGCCCGACCTCTGTGAGTTGGGATGGCGTGTGGTGTGTGGTGGTGGTGGTGGGGAAGTGTGTGTGTGTGTGTGTATGTGTGTGAAGTGACAACAAGGTGATCGCACAGCACCAAACAACGCCGTAGAGCTTCACGGGAGCGAAGTCGTGCCGCGGCCCACGTCATGCCTGGACTTGTTCTCAGACCTCCAAAGGGCTGCCCTAGCTCCCTTCCAAAACCATTCCAACAGCGCCCACACTCACTGATGTGCTCGCAGCCGCCGCCGCCGCTGGGCCCGGTGATCATACGCGCGCCCTGCGTCGCCGGGGGCGGCAGCGCCAGCGCCTGGTCCTGGGAGGACACCAGCTGCTCGTGCCGTTCCTCCAGCCCCTCCAGCGTCAGGCCCCCCGTGTCGGTGGCGCTGAACTCCTGCAGCCGGCGGGACAGCGTCGCCTCGCCCACGTTCACCACCCGAATCACCTCCTGCTTGGTCCGGGGCACGCCTGTGGATGGGCAGGTATATTGTGTGTTGGAGGGGGGGGGGAGAGGGGTTGGAAGGGCGGGTGGCGGGGGCCGCAAGGCTACCCCGGGATTCTCATGCGGGAGGTACTGAAGAGGCAGGGCCCAGCAAGAAGCGAAAGGTGGCGCGGCGGTCGACACCAACCTGCCGACACTTGCAGTGCTTTGCACGGCAGGCATGGTCGCATCGCCAGGGGGGGGGAGCCCTTGCCTTGACGCGGCGCTGCATGTCAGTCTAAATACCCCCCCCCCCAGAACCCACTCCCCACCCCACCCCCACCATGGATGTGGGTGGCAATGAACAGCGCGGCGCCGCAGATGCCGGAGGGGCGGCGCCCCGTCTGGATCCAGTCGCGCTTCATGGACGCCACGAGGCGGACGGCGGTGTGAGCGATGGCCTTGGACACCTCCTGCTCCAGTCCCAGCAGATTTGTGTACCGGTCGATGAAGAGGGACGGGTCTATGGGCCTGTGTGTGCATGGTTGGGAGGGGGAGGGCGGGCTGTTTGTGTGGCGGTATGTACAGCAGAGTCCCCAGGAAGAGAGGGAGAGTGAAGCGGGCTCCTGCGGGGACTGACAGTCCATCATGCACGGCTCTGCCTCCCCACCAACGTGTACCAAGCACCCACTTGCAGAACATGGGGTGGTCCTCCATGCGCAGCAGTCGGGCCAGCTGCAGGAACACCGAGCCCAGCGTGAAGACATTGATCTGTGAATCGAGCCAGGTTGCGAGGAGGGTTGAGGAAGGGGGGCAGGGGTGGTGCTACAGGCGCAGCCAGCGCGTGTCACAGCAGCGCATGCCCAGGGGCGGGGCGCAGCCCGCGCGGGCTGCCTCTGCTGGGCGCCCCACCCACCCCACCTGCAGCCTGTCGCTGAAGTCGATGAGGAGAAAGGGCTTGGCGTCCTGGCGGCAGAGCAGGTAAAGGCACGTGGCGGCCACCTGGTTGGTCCGCCGCCCACGCGTGAAGCCGCGCTGCAGGGCCAGCCGGTACAGGCGGTGCGCGGACTCCACGCTCTCCTCCCGCGGCCTTATCTTCAGGGCCTCCACCAGCTGCGCGATCTGGTGCCTGCCCTTCTGCTGCGCGCGTTCGTGGGAATCGGTCTGGCTGGTGTACACGCGGCCGCCATGGATGCGGCCGATGCCCCTGGCCTGCCCGGTCTCGCTCACGAACTGGCCCAGCACCGTGCTCTCCCCGCCCGCATCCTTTTGGAAGGTGACGTCGGCGGAGAAGGCCGTGTCCTCCAGCACGCGCCCGCAGTGGGGGCAGCACCTGGGGGGGTGGGGGTTGAGGCGGATTGTTGTCGGTACGATGAAACCGCCATGCGTACCAGGGACACGCTGAAACGCCTCTTAAACGACCCTTGCGCAGCATTCGACTCACGAGAATCCATTGCCGGCCTCTGTGTCGGGCTCTACATCTGCCGTGCAGGCACTGCACCACACCATGGTGTCGCCCCGGGCTGAAGCTCTCCTACAACATGCGCTGGGCCCAAAGTAAGCCTCTTGGCCGGCCTATTTAAACTTTCAAGAGCACCAGGGCCTCAGTCTGTTCCTATGTGAAGAGGAAGGCAAGGTGCACGAATCCGCGCGCCCTCGGTCGACGAGATCGGAATCAACAGGCAGAATACCTCAGGATGCTGGTGAGTGAATGAGATTTGGAACGTCCAGGCCTTGGGACTCCAAGTGAGCTGGGTGTTCTCGCTTGATATTCGCTTGAGAATAATGTGTTGGGATGTCCAACGCCCTGCCTGAACACGCCAGGCATGGTCACTACAATTGGAGGATGTCACTGGATACAAACGATCTGCCATGGAGTAGCGATTACGAGCTTTGAACAACTCAATAATTACCACAGTCTTTGCCATGATTAGAAGGAAACACTCTCATACATGCTTGACCTCATACAATGAGGCTGTCATGCAGGACGATGAGGCTGTCAGAGATTTTCCTGGCTTGTGTTGAAGCTACACAGGTGCCGCTGGCCTTCACAAAAGGGACAGGCTCTCGGGAAGTGGCAACGAGCGGGGTAGGTGATCCGACCTGTGTATGTGGAGCCATCAAGTAGGGAGTAATGATCACCAGGTTTTCAATCCTGGACAGCGGTCATGGGAAGTTTAGGTGTGCGCTGGACGTAGTGCGTCATATCACCTCATCTGGAAAGACTAAGCAGAGGCCGAGTTGAGATCCCATTCCAATCGTATCTACTCTCACAAAACCCCATTTTGAGGCTACACCCTACTGTATGCCAAGAACGGCCGTGTGCTGGAGTTTGTGTTCCTCACCAACCCACCAAGACCCCTCCCGCCACCAGCTCAGTGACGAGACCCGACCTTGGGGCAGGGACCCAAATTTCGTGTCACCGACGGCACGCGATCTTTCCTGTGCGTGCTCGGTTCAAGGTTACCAATCACTGATTTTCCAAAGCATCCAGGTGGCCATCGGGGAAAAATGGCATTCGGGGGAACTCCGGGCAGTGTTGTCGGTGAGTGGGGTGGCGTGCGACCGACGAGACGGGAGACTCAGTACACAAGGTGATCGGAACGTGGCGGTGATATCAGTTGATAGCTTTCATTTAAACGACGCTCCCGACACCTGCTCGCAGTGCCGCGGAACTTCCGGCTCCTGGAGGAGTTGGAGAAGGGGGAGAAGGGCCTAGGCGATGGCACCGTGAGCTATGGCATGGACACCTCGGATGACATCATGATGCGCAGCTGGACGGGCACCATCATTGGTCCACCCAGCGTGCGTCTTGGCGTGAGGGAAGGGGCCGAGGGTCTGTGGGACACCTTGGCACCCTAGCCGTTCTGCGCTCCTGAGTTTGGGTCTCCAAACAAGGCCTCACACTGCCCTGTGCTCATGCAGACGGTGCACGACGGGCGAATATACACATTGAAGATCTACTGCGACGAAAGCTATCCCGACAGGGTGAGGGGTGCCTTGTGTAGACCGGGGCTCTGGGGTTGGGTTGGTGTGGTCGGCTGAGTGACCGAGGGCAAGGGTATGTCCATGTGCTGGAGCAGGCGACTCTGCACGACCATCCTGGGGTAGCTCCAGGGCTGTGCTGCACTGGCTTGGCCCTTTGCTCACGGGCGTATTCTTCAGCTCCCAAGGCAGTGCCTGCCTTCCCCCCCGACCTTTCAGTCGGCCCCTTCCCCATGCAAACCCCACTCGCCCACCCACAGCCTCCCAAAGTGCGCTTCGAGACGAGGGTGAACATGACGTGTGTGGGCCCCACGGGGGAGGTCGACCCGCGCGGCTTCTCGGTGCTGGCGCGCTGGAACCGGGGCTACACCATGGAGACGGTGCTGGTGGAGCTGCGACGGGAGATGGCCTCCTCCTCCAACCGCAAGGCGCCGCAGCCGCCGGAGGGCAGCACGTATCGCTGATCATGGTTGCAGCGCACGGCGCGCCCACCGTGTGTGGGGCCGTCGAACTTCGAGGCGTGTGTCTCGGCTGATCATGGCACGCTACCAGCCGGAGGCACGCAAAGGTCACGCCGCTTGCCGCCCCGACCCCATGCGGTGCTGCGACCCCAGCCCCATCCTCCCCGCATCCCATGCCCAGTGTCACCTCTCCTCTGTACATCGACACGCAGTTCTCCAGTGCACAGTTTGGCGCAGGGGTACTGTGGTAAGCTGCGCAGTGGCGAAGCAGGGGCGGCCACAGCGGATCTCACGTGGCGCGCCGGGGTGGATTGTGCATGGCGACTCGGTGCTGGGAGGGGGCAATACCACCCGGGATCATCCGCGCGCCCTCCCACCCCCCGTCGCCGCCCTCGGACAGCCCCTCCCTCACTCCTCCGCCTCCTTCTCGGCGGGCTTCTCGAACACCAGTAGGTGCATGGGCGTGAAGATGCCCAGCTCCCCGCCGTCGATCAGCGCAAAGGCGGTGTCCATGAGCATCTTGTGGATCTCGCCCATGCCCCGCGGCGCCAGGCGCAGCGTCTCCGCCACCCACACCAGCGAGGCATTGAAGTGGGCGAACACGGCGAACAGGCAGCGGCTGCGCCCCAGCCGCGCGTACCAGGGGTTCACGCTGACACCCTCGGGCACGTGGGGCTGCAGCACCGCGCCGGACTCGCTCCACCAGGGCGAGACCTGGGTGGCGGGGGCCATGGCCAGGTCGCGCGACTCCACCAGGCGGAAGCCGACGGCTTTGCCCGCGGCCTCTGCCTGCGCCCAGGTGCGCATGTCGGGCAGCCCGTTGCCGATCACGATCTCGTCCATCAGCTTGACGTGCTCCACGTTGGTCGAGTCGTACAGCGGGGTGGACACCCACTCGTACGTCGCGAAGCGCGCGCCCGGCTTCAGCACGCGGTGCACCTCGCTGTACACCTCCTCCAGCTATGTGGAAAGGGGGGATGAGAAGGAGGGTGGTGCTGTTGTTGAGGGTGGTGGGTGCGATCAGGGGAGAGTCGGTGAGGGCCAGGGATCCAGTGGGGCCGGTGTTCGAGGGGGATGCAAAACACAGGGCCTCAATCCCATGGTGGAGCCCTGACCATCTAGGACCCTGCTTTCCAGGTATGGGCTGCTGGAAGCCCTGCCCCGCAGCCTTGTCACTGCCGTCCCTCCCCCAAACCGACAACGACCTGCACACCTTTGGGGCATGGCAGGTGGCCTCGATGGCGTAGGCGCCGTCAAAGGTGTTTGCCTCGAAGGGCATGTCCAGGAAGTTGCCGCGCACTGCCTGGCACTGCTTGCTCACTCCCAGCTGCGAATGATGCGGACAGGTGGAGGGATGGTGAGGAACAGACGCTGGTGGGGTATGCTCCTCATGCCCCTGCAATCCCAGAACCTGGTCGAAAGAAGCGTCAAAAAGGCCTTTCACCCTCGAGGCAGCACACCAACCCCCTTCCACCACCTCACTCCCCTTCAGCCCCCCTCGCAAGCTCACATTCTTGTTGTGGTATGTCGCGCGCTTGACCTGGTACTCGTTGATGGTGATGCCGGTGATGTGAGCGCCCGAGGAGGTGGCGATGGTGCGCATGGGGCCGCCCACGCCGCAGCCGACATCCAGGCCGTGCTTTCCGGGGGCGAGGCCAATGAGGGCGCCGATGCGGGTCTCGTGCGCCGCCTCGGCCGCCGCCCAGGTGTGGCGGGGGAGCAGGGGGGAGAAGTGGAAGCTCTGGCCCCAGCCCCACTCGTAGATGTCAGTCACCTTGGCAGGGAGAAGGTTTTTTGTCGGGGAAGGGTATTGAGATAGTGCAGGTGCGAGGTTGGCTGTCCTGCTCCCAGTTCTCTAGCCCCCTAGCTGCCATCGGGTTGCACCGGCCCCCATGGCTCGGCACATGGCAAGCATACTCAAAGAACTCAACACCTTCCAATGTGCTGGGCTCATATGAGTCAATACAATGCCCATGTCAGCACATCGTGACGCCCTGCATTTTCAGAACAGTTCATGCCCCTCCTCCATCACCCGACTCCCGAGGGACCCACCAGGGAGTAAAACTTGTCGACAAAGTCGGCCACCTTTTTGCTGTTGGCGACCTGCGCACCCTTGCCACGCTCCAGGGTGTTGTACTCGCTGTAGTACGCGCTGACCTGGGATCGGTCGAGCACGGAGGGTGGGTGATCACGCCGGGCTCAGTCCACCACCGTCGCCAAAGCGGTCGTCTCATACTGCTTCTGGGCAAATCCAGGCTATGTTAGTTTAGAACCCAACCAGATCGGCCGTCTTGTGACAGGGTCGCCGCCCGTCCCTCACCTCACTCTGGACCTCGCCCTCCTTCAGGTTGCCCACTCCCAGCTGGAAGGAGCTGGGTGCCACCTGGTAGTCAGAGCGCGGCTTGCGGGTGGCCAGGTAGGTGATCGCGCCGAGGGCAGTCAGGCCTCCTGCCACCGCCACGGCAGTACTGTTGTCCTCTACATACACGCTGGCCCTTGCGGCTGCGTCGCTGAGCGCCGGTCCAATGCTGCTGGAGAACCCCATGGCTCCCAGACAGATCTGACTACAAATCGTGCAAACGCCAAGATTCCGAGCAGTGTATGATCTGGCCAGCTATTGCGCCTAAACCGGGTGCTGGTGCTCTGCTCTGGGGGGTCTCCCAGTATCGGTGCGTGTATTTGCAGTACCTAACGTAATTTGATTTTGAACCCGGGCGATCTCGGACACCAGCACAGGTTTCATGGTAATGTGATGTCACACGAAGGCCGACACACCGACATGCACTGGTGTGTTGGGATTGCCAGGTCGTCCTCTGGTTCACTTCCGGGGAGGCTCGAAGTCCGTGACGACTCGAGCCTGAGGCCCACTTTTAAGAAGTTCTGTCAACACAACCCTTGAGTTATTGAATTCCAAAAATAATCAGCATTGCATCTCGCTTCGACAAGGGCCTTTTGGCCGCGACGGAGGCCTTGGCGGTCGGGGACCTGGCAGAATGCTCACGCCTCCTAAGGGTCGTTGCCGATGCCAGCTCACTTCGACACCGTCAGCTTACTGTCTCTCTATCCCTCCTTGCTGCACACGATTCTAATGCGATCTGGAAGGTGTGCGCCCGGTCAAACGGTGCATTGGTTTCCGGGACGGAGCCAGCCATCCCTGGCTGTCCATGGCCCCGTCTTTGTCTATCTTGGGGTTCCCATACATGACCTGTGCAGGTGTTCGACCTCGATCCCCGAAGGACAACGCTTGCGGAGCTGAGAGGGCAGTACGTCCGCCTCGCCCGCCTGGTGCACCCCGACAAGACAGGGACCCCGGCCACCGCTGCAGCCTTCCATGCACTGCAAGCGGCGGCCGCCACCTGCACGCGAGACCTCGCTGCAGCTTCAGCGGCACTGCCCGCACACGAGCCAGGGTTTGCATGGTGGGACGAGTGGGACATGGAGGCGGCGCACAGCGATTCCAAAGGAGAAGCTGGGCCGGCCGGGGCAGCACCCGCTCCCAAACCTGTCTGGGAGGACATGAGCCTGGAGGAGATCAGGGCGGAGATCAGACGGCGACAGGCGGCAATGCTCGACCCTCCACGGGACCAGGCTGGCGGCTCTGTGCCGCTGCCCCTCCTGCGCCAGGCGCTGGAGGAAGGCAAGGCCGCCCTGCGGCGCCGCCTGCAGCAGGTCGAAGCCTACGGCGCTCGAGACCGTGAGGGTGGCTTCGTGCGAGGCTGGTGAAACTTGTAGAAACTGAAGGTAGACAATTCAGTAGAGCTGATCAGAAGACCGCTCTGCATAGGAGTGGCGCACCCACTCCAAAGTGGGGAGGGAACGGCGCGTGCTGTGCGGGAAATGGGAGAATCTGCTCCTGGGGTCCGATGGGCCCATACAAGTACGAGCGCTGCGCATACCTCGAGTACTTGACCGGAAGTAAAGGATCACATAGCCGCCTTCGACTTTGAGGCACGGCAGTGTGTGGTGCTGGCTTCGATCACCCGGCGTGCACTGCCGGAGCGATTCCCCCGCTCATGCTCTAGGCGCCATCCGATCGGGTCCCGGCGATGACAGACGCATCCAACACGCCGCCCGTGTCTGGAGTTGCGACCACCTCCACTGATGGGTCGAAGAAGAGCGACAAGCGGAGCCCAGGCTCGTCTGCGGCCAGCCTGACGACAGTCCTCACCCTGATCGCCATCTGCCTGCTTGCCACAGCAGTGAGCTGGGAATATAATAGCCATCCTGGAGGTTCATGCACTAGGAATGCCCCACGTTCTTGCTGTACTATGTAGCAGGTCATCCCCTCGACGCCCCTCCGCACCCTGCCGTCAGGTCCGGCTTTTCTCGGTGATCAAGTACGAAAGTGTCATCCATGAGTTCGATCCATACTTCAACTACCGTGTCACACGGTACCTGACGGAGGAGGGCTTCACCAAGACCTGGAACTTCTTCGACTCCTTCACCTGGTACCCATTGGGCCGCATCGTGGGAGGAACCATGTACCCTGTGAGTCTATCCTAGGAAATGCGCTGGGAAGGGGTGTTCTTTGGGCTATGATTCCATTGGAGAAGGACACCGTGTGCTTATTGATGCAGGGCCAAGTGCCAGGGCCCAGCCCAGGGAGCGGGCACGCCATGGCTTGGGGCTGCCACGGTATGAATCCCGTCCTCGCAAACGCCAGTCCCCCAATCCTTGTCACCCCATCCTCCCAGGGCCTGATCTTCACTGCTGGCTTGATATGGAAGGTTCTGCAGGCACTGCGCAGCCCCATCCACATCCAGGAGGTGGGTTTGTTGGTGCTTGTGAGGCTGGAATGAGTTACAAATGGGACTGATCGGCTGGACATGCTATGGCTGCGTGGTCCGACACCTTCCCCTTGCAAACAGCATTCCAGTCTCCACCTCCTCGCCCTGAAAGCTACCACTGCCACGCGGCTGCCTGCTGTTGTTCAGCGGCCCTCCAACCCTCCTGTTTGGCGGCCTCTGCCCATGCCAGCATGGTATATGCCCACCTTCCTCCCTCACCCCCCCATCCCCGTCACCCCTGCCATCCCTGTCACCCTGGCCATCCCTCGTCACCCCCGCCACCCCCCATCCCTCCAACCCTCACCCCACCCCAAATCCCCCCCAAAACACGACTCATCCAGATCTGCGTGTTCATGGGCCCGCTCTTCTCCGGCCTGTGCGCCCTGGCGACCTTCTTCTTCATGCGCGAGGTACGCGGTGACGGGGCCGGGCTGGCCTCCGCCGCCTTCATCGCCATCATCCCCTCCTACATCTCGCGCTCCGTGGCCGGATCCTACGACCTGGAGTCCATTGCCATCGCCGCCCTGGTCACCGTCTTCTTCCTCTACGTCAAGGTGGGGCAAAGGGTTTTTAAAAGGTGGTGTGACGAATGGGAAAGGGAAGGTGGGGGAGGCTTTGCCTACTGGGGCATGGGCATTCAGGCTGGTACATCTGGCCCATCACCCAAACGAACCTCTCATTTCGACGGGAACGAATCCCCATCCCCCACTGATTTCCCTTCCAACCCTCTCTGACCAGACCCTGAACACGGCGAGCCTGAGGTGGGCCACCGCCCTCTTCTTCGGCTACCTCTACATGGTGGCCTCCTGGGGAGGGTACAGCTTCATCGTCAACTTGCTGCCCATCCACTGCCTGGCCAGTATTGTGCTGGGCCGGGTGAGCACCGGCCTCTACGTGGCCTACGCGCCCTTTGCCATCCTGGGGGCCCTGGCGGCACGTGAGTCGGCGCGATTGGTGGAAGGGAGGGGGGGGGGGGTCCTGTGTGGTTCTGGGTGAGTGAGAGGGCGACTTGACGAGGGCTTCCGGCTTCTGCAGGGGCGGGGAGTGCAGGCAAGTGCCTGGGCCTGTGATGGCTGTGCGTCAGGCGTGGACGTCAGACGCGGTGCCGCTGAGCACGGTCCTGCGACGGAGCCCGCCACATTTTTTGCTGCCCACAGATCAGTGTCCCATGCTGCATTCCCTATCACCCAACGACAACGACCCCTTTTCCTCCCCAGTGAACATCCCCGTCATCGGCTTCAACGCGGTCCTGATGAGCGAGCACTTTGCGTCCTTTGCCGTCTTTGGCATCCTGCATGCCGCATTTGCCATCAAGGTGCGCCGGTGTTGTGGTGGAGGCTGTAGTGTCGTTTTGGTGTGGGGTCTGGGGGAGGTGTCGAGTTCTGGGGGTGCCTTCACCGGTGGTCGCACGAATGGATGAGCGGGAGGCTGTCAAAGGACTTGCAGGTTTTCGCAGGCAGGCATGCTCACGCGTCGGCACCACGGACTTGCTCCTTCCTCCATGCCACGCTGTTGGTGAGTCCCCTCCCCTATCCCCATCCCACACACTCACATGCACCCACCCCCATCCCGCCTGCAGTGGATCAAGGAGACGCTGCCGCCACGAACGTACGAGGCGGCCAAGCGCGTCGTGTGGACCGTCGGCACGGCCGTGGCTGGCGTGATCCTGGTGCTGGTCACCGGGTACGTCACTGCCTCCCCCACCTTTGGCTGGACAGGTAGGTCATGGAGAGAAAGGGCAGCGGCTCATCCCAGGATGGGGGGCCCGGAGCTGGTGCCAGGGCTCTGGGTGATCCATCCCGGGACCGTCCCACCTGTACGCTGTGCGCTGCAGCCTGCTTGCCCTGCACTCGCTCCCTCCCACCAGCCCCTACGCCTGGCGACCCACATCACACTCCCTGTTCCCCCTTCATTCTCCCCCCCTCCACCCAGGCCGCAGCCTGTCGCTGCTGGACCCCACCTACGCCTCCAAGTACATCCCCATCATCGCCAGCGTGAGCGAGCATCAGCCCCCGGCGTGGAGCTCGTACTACAACGACCTGCACCTGGTTACGCTGCTGGCGCCCGCCGGCCTGGTCGCGGCCTTCACGCCGCTCACCGACGCCTCCTTGTTCCTGGTGCTCTACGCCGTCACCGCCGTCTACTTCTCCGGGGTCATGGTGAGCAGATGCAGGGATGTTGAGGGGGGGGGTGGAGAGTTGGTTCTGGGGAGGTCTCTTAGGAGCCGAGGGGTTGGTGGTTGGGCAGGGGTACACAGTGATAAGATCGGGAAAGGCCGGGGCTGTGGGGAGGGTTAGGCCGGAGGCTGGTCTCCTGCTGTTGTGGAAGGACGAGTTGGACGACTTGTGGTGTGCAGTTTCACTCTTTAAATTGGACAGTGGAACGTCAGTGCACACCTGGAAGGCAGCTTCTCAAGGGCGCCGCGCATACACCTTGCTCGAACCCTGCACTCCACCCCTCTCGTGCGAGGTCACAGGGTAACAGCTACCCCCCTACATCGGACCCGCTTTTCACCTCCCTTACCACCCCCCCCTTCTCCTCACCCCGGCGCCCCCAACAAACAGGTCCGGCTCATGCTGGTGCTGGCCCCCGCCGCCGCCTGCCTGGCGGGGCTGGCGCTGTCCGAGGCGCTGTCCTACCTCTTCCGCTCCGTGCGTGCCGAGGGGGAGGCGGTGCTGGCGGCCAGCGGCAGCGCCGCCGAAGCGTCCGGCGCGGCCTCCCCCGGCGTCGCGCCGCCGGCCCCCGCCGAACGCTCGGCCGCCAGGAAGGCGGCGCGCGCCGCCGGCCGGGCGCGGTCCGCCCCCGACGCCGGCGCCTGGATGGCGCCAGGGTCGAGCGCGCGGGCGCTGCCGCGCGACGTCGCCTGGGTGGCGCTGGCCGGCCTCTTCTACGCCCTCGCTCTCTACGTCCGCCACTCGGTGTACATCGCGGGCGAGCACTACTCCGCGCCCTCCATCGTGCTGCAGGTGCTGGAAGGGGCAGGGAGGGGCGGAGCGGTGTCAGGTTGCACGCCGATGCATATCTGCCTACAGGGCCCAGTTCGCGCCATGCATTGCGCGACTCGATGCCCACCCCCGCACACCTGCCTGCCGGAGACTCTGCGTCTCCCACTACCACCCCCATTGATCCCCGCGCTCACCCCTCATCCCCCGCTCGCAGACCCGGCAGCGCGACGGCTCCATCAAGGTGTTTGACGACTTCCGGGAGGCCTACTCCTGGCTGAGCCACAATGTCCCCGCCGACGCCAAGGTTGCCTCCTGGTGGGACTACGGCTACCAGACCACAGCCATGGCCAACCGCACCGTCATCGTGGACAACAACACCTGGAACAACACCCACATCGCCACGGGTGAGGGCTGGCGAGGGCAGCGGGAGGCTGGGAGGTGCAGGGTCTGAGTGTTGTTTTGGGGTTGAATCGATGACAAGGATGGAAGGAATCTGCTTCTGGGAGGGGGCCGTGAGATCAAGGATCAAGGGTGTGATTCCTGCTCGGTTGGAAAGGAGCAGCAGGAATGGCCCTCGGCCGTCGGTTGTCTTGTGTGCGACCAGATGCATGGCAGGAGGGGCTTTTCTCTCTGGATAATCCTGCACTAGGAATGCGCAGGGAACTGGAAGAACACCCTCGTGTGGAGCTAGTCAGCCATGCCCGGCCTGCACTGCTCTGCATTGCGTTTGGTTCAGCATCGTCAAGCTGACCCTCCCCTCCTCACGCACATGCTCGCAGTGGGGCGTGCCATGGCCCTCCCAGAGAAGGCCTCCTCCGAGGTCTTCAGGTCCCTCGATGTGGAGTATGTGTTTGTCGTCTTCGGCGCCTTCATCGGGCGAGTGCTTGGGGTTGGGAGGGGGTGTCAAAGATCAGGGAGGGATCGAGGGGGGAGGAGCCAGGGCCTGGGGACGGAGAGGACACCTTGCTTGTGGGATGGTCATGGGATGCTGTCTCAGGGCCTCCGTGGAGATCTCACCAAAGGGTTCTCATTTAGGTCCAGCAGCTGACCTTTTCCCCTCGACGCCCCCCCTCCCGCCGTAGGTACCCCTCCGACGACATCAATAAGTTCCTGTGGATGGTGCGCATCGGCGGCGGCGTCTTCCCGGACATCAAGGAGCGGGACTACCTGAACAGGGGCCAGTACCGCGTCGACAGCACCGCCCCCAAGGCCATGCTGGACTCCACCATGTACAGGTGGGTGCAGAGAGAGACATGGGGTGGAAGAGGGGCCGAAGCTACCAGGGTCCAGACCGCGTGCCCCGGGCGGGCTGTGGTCCTCCAGCCGCTGGCATGCGCTGCTATGCCCTTGACACGTGGTTGGCAAGGCAACGGACGGCATGGAGATGCATGCAGCAGCGTGGGTTCGCTCCCTAATGCGCATGGCCGTGGCGCACTCTGAATCCCCTCGCACAAACTGCGCCCCCCTTGGGCCTGCCATGTATGTAAGATTCTAGAACCTCAGCCCCCCTCACCTGCCTGCCTTTTACTCGCAGGCTGTCGTACTATCGCTTTGCGGAGACGGGGCCCCTGTTTGGGATGCCCTACGGCTACGACCGCGTGCGGCAGCAGACCATTGGCCTGCCTGACTTCAAGTGAGCTGCGTGAAGAGGGCGGGGCGCTGTGGGGAGGAGGGGGGTGCTCAATCCTACATACTGTAGGGGGCACTGGCATTGCATTGCAGTGTGCGGCGGACGGTCAAATGATCCTCATGTGGATAGCAGAGGCTCTCATGGCGGCGGTGCGACCCACCCTATGCTGACCCCACGCGGTCGCACGATGCACACCCAATTGCCAATCCCAGGTCCACCCTCCCCCTCCAACAGGCTGAAGCATTACGAGGAGGTGTTCACCTCCGAGCACTGGATGGTCCGCGTCTACCGCGTGCTGCCGGAGCCCAACCGCGAGGTCCGCCTGCCAAACCCAAACAGGGTCAAGGCGCAGCGTGGTGCCAAGGTCAAACCCAGGCGGCCCTCTGGTGACCCCACCTCCATGCCGTCCAAGACCAGGCAGTGAGGGTGGCGGGCTTCCCCCTCCTCGTGCGATGGAGGCATGCGTGCATTAGGATGCTAGAGCCATGCTCTGAACGGGGTTGCATTGCCCATGCAGCTGGTGTAAGGAGATTTATCGAAGGGGGTGTCAGTCATGTTTCTCACTTTGAGGAGGAACATGTGTCCATGTTCGCCTCCTGCTAGTATGCTGTGGGGGGTAGTTCGTCAGATGAGTGCATCTCCCAGTATCTTCACCACAAGGAGCTCTGTTGCTGGATATCACCGCCCTGGCTGGCTTGACGAGCAGCCACAAGATCATGGGAGATCGCATAGGCAAGGAGGCAGTGGGCATCCTACAAGGCCATTCTCCTTTACGTATCTTGTCTTCTCACTAGAAATCGCAGTCTGGGGCTGTGAACAGAAGAGTCCAAGGTCAGGAGGAATCGCCAAAAGACCCATCTATAGGCCCCAAAAACCCAGCTCAACAACGCGATACAAGATTGCAGAATGTCCGGGGTTCGAATCCTCGCAGCTCCATCCCTCTTAGGGGTTGTGGCGCAGTGGTAGCGCGTCTGCTTTGCATTCAATCTTTTTCTTTTTTGCTCTGGTGAATATTTACATCCGCCTACGTTACGGTACTTTACTCCAAGGTGGTTTATCGTCGTGGCATGTGCAGCTTTGGATGATATCACGCGTGTCACTGCCCAGATGCCAACAGTGCTTGGCCAGCCCGACTTCTGGGGCCACAACCCTGAAAGCAGCGTAGATTCCACATTGTAGTGGATATTGGACTTCCCACTGACCTGTTCTATGACTGTCATCTTACTCGGATGCATACCGTGTTGGATACTTGGAAGTTTCACGCAGCAGGCACGTGGCTCACACAGTCACTGCTCCAGTCGGAGTGAGTTCCCCACCTCTTCTCAAACCCACTGTACATGAAGTCAGGACTTGCAACTCTATACAACACGAAATCCTCAGACTAAAGGGGAATGCAAGTGCTAGGACAAACGCGCTGGGACGTTTCTGCAACTCCTTGGGGGGGAAGAAAAGCACACCCTACTGCCAGTTGGTGCCGGAGATGCGGCGGATGTACGCGCCCGACGGCTTCACATCGCCCACCGTCTCCTCTGGCTTGCCAGGCACCCGGTCCTTCATCGGCTTGTAGTCCCTCAGCCACACGCCCTGCAAGGTTGGGAGGGCGGTGGAGGGGGTCTCCTCCGGGCGAGTGCCGCCGTGTGTTATGCGCAAAGCGCCCCAAGCATGAAATCCCCCACGCGAGCGACGGAAGGCTGTCGACTCTCTGGTACAGGCATGAAAACGATCTGCAAGGGTACCTCACCGTGTAGTCCTGCTGCGGCCTGACAATCTTGGTGTCTGGGTCGGCGAGTGTCTCGCGCCAATGTGCGAGGTAGCCTGTCAAGAGCGATGGAAGGCAGAGGCTTGTCGTGAAGACTGCGGCCTAAGGCGGCAGCCATCACCTGGGAGATGCCCGCGTGGAGGGTGGGCATACAGCGTGCTGCACTTCAATGCAACCCGTTTCTCGTCCCCATTCCCCAATTCTCACCCGTGATGCGCGGGATGGCAAAGAGCACGGTGAAGAAGTTGGGCTGGAAGCCCATGGCGGAGTAGACCAGGCCTGCATGTGGAAAGAAGAAGAGGTAGGGGGGTGTTGAGCATCAGTGAGCGAGCAGAGGCAGGCCTTGGTGTGGAGGATTGGGTTCCAAAAGGGTCGATCTGGCTCTGTGCAACGCCCGATGGGACCTGACATGCAGGTCTCGAGCCCTGCCGCACATGCTGTGGTGTCCCAACGAAGCCACTGTCCCCTCCCCTGCTTGGACGGTGTCACCAGGGGCACAGGGCAAACCTCCCTCCTCCCTCACCCAGCCTCCCTGTGAGCAGCATGATCAGCCGCAGAATGTTGACACCCCCCAGCTTCAAGCGCCCGTCCCCTCCCCCAAATCACCCCACCCACCCGAGAAGAAGTCGACGTTGGGGTAGAGCTTGCGTGACACAAAGTAGTCGTCAGCGCGGGCAGCCTTCTCCAGCGCCAGCGCGACGTCGATGAGCGGGTTCCGGCCCGCGATGTCGAACACCTCCTCCGCCACGGCCTGGATGAGCTTGGCCCGTGGGTCATAGTTCTTGTAGACGCGGTGCCCGAAGCCAAACATCTTCTCCTTGCGGTTCTTCACCCCCTCCAGGAACCCGGGCACGGCGTCCACGTGCCCGATGCGACGCAGCATGCGCAGCACGGCCTCGTTGGCGCCGCCGTGCAGCGGACCGTACAGCGCGCCCACCGCGCCGGCGGCCACGGTGTACACATCCACGCCCGAGCTGGCCAGGTGGCGCGCGGCGGAGGTGCTGCAGTTCAGCTCGTGCTCGGCGTGGAGCAGGAACATGACGTCCAGCGCGCGGGCCAGGCGCGGGTTGGGCCGGTAGCTGGGCCGCGCGCCGCCGTCCAGCATGTAGAGGAAGTTCTCCGCGTAGCCCAGGCGCTGGTTGGGCGGGGCGGGGCGCCGCCCGCTGGCGACGTGGTAGGCCCAGGCGCCGAGGGTGGGGATCTTGCCGATCAGGCGCACGATCTGCTTGTCCTGCACGTCGCGCGAGGCGTAGATGGCCTGCCCCGCCAGCGCGGGGTTCTGCTCCGGGTGGCAGGTGGACAGCGCGGCCAGGCCCGTGAGCAGCACGCCCATGGGGTGGGCATCGTGGGGCAGGGCCGCCAGCGCAGCCTCCACGGCCACAGGCAGCGCGGAGTGGCGCATCACCGCCTCCTCCCAGCGCGCGGCCTCGGGCGCGGTGGGAAGCTTGCCGTACACCACGAGGTGCGCGGTCTCCAGGAAGGTGGACCGCTCCGCCAGCTGCTCGATGGGGTAGCCGCGGTAGCGCAGCACGCCCCTGTCGCCGTCGATGTAGGACACCGCAGACTTACAGGCGGTGACGTTGAGGTAGCCGTTGTCGAAGGGACGCAGGCCCACGCCGTCGCCGCCGGCCGTGATCTTCTTCAGGTCCGTGGCCAGGATGGTGCCGTGGTCGCTGATGGGGATCTCGTACCGCCTGCCCGTGCGATTGTCCACCACGGTCAGGCTGCCGGGGCCACCCGCCACGGCGGGCCTGCGGTTAGCGGAGGAGGGCGGGGTCTGAGATCTGAGATCCTGGATCCATCACACCCATGCTTGTCGTGCGGGATCTGGGCTCCCGCCGTTTGCGCACATGACCACGGACCCACACGGGGTGGACACGACCCGCGAGGGTGCACGCCGCAGCCCCCGCCGTACTTCTTGTGCACACCAGGCCCATCACACCCACACACCTCCCGGTCTGATCATGTGGGGCGGAGGTGCCCACCCTCTCCAAGCCATGCTCCGCTTCGGAAACCGACACCGAGGCCAGGTGCCTCTGTAGGGTTGCGATGCGGTGGTGGGCTGCCATGGCGAACCGGTGACTCTTTCTATATCTGTCGAAACCCAAATATAATTATCCTGTCGACAGACCAAGCGGCAGGAACCATCCTTGATAAATCGTGACCAAGCGCCAAGCGCGCTGACGTGGGACATGGGTGTCGTGTCGGAGAATCTGGCGCCGGTCGTGCCCCCTGCCTAGCCATCGACAAGGACACAGGGAGTGCTCGAATACTGGCACACGAACGAATTCGTGATTTTCTCAACCCGATTTTCTGACACATTCAATGACGACCATAGTGTCTCACAGCAGCAACAGCCTATGGGGTCCTTGGCGCTGGGGACCTTGCTGACGCTTTCCGTAAGATTCAGCATGCATTCCTTGACCTCCTTGCATTGATCGAGATAGCTCCCAGGTCGCGTACAAATGTCTGACCAAGGCTCCTCATTGGGGGGTGGGCAGCATTGTCAGCAGATGTCCAGACCTTGCTGTGCTAGTGCAGGAGCATCTTAACAGTGACCAGGAATCAACACACTGCTTGTGACTGGGCGGGGCGCCAACCCGTGCATCTTTGAGCACTCACACATGCGCAGTATGAGTGCAAGGCATCAATGCCTTGCCTCCGAAAAACACCCAATATGGCAGAGGTGCCTGGCAGTGCCACGTGGAATCATGATATGCTGAGACTGGACCTGAATTTCAGACAACACAGGGGAGGGGTGATGCGAGGCAGCAGGGGTCAGGGAGGAGAGGTGAGGTGCAGGACAGAAGGTAGGAGATGGCATGGCGATTCGGTAAGGCTCCATCTATGAAAAGCGGTGCACTCGTTCAACATTCTACTACTGGCACAAAATCTCCCGGGGGGTGAACCCTGTTTGCTGGCTGGTGAGGAGGGCCAGGCGGACAGAAGGCAGAAAGGTTGGGATGGCCGTAGCCGGCGAATTCATGTTTGTACGGCGGGGCCCACGCGACTCGCCCGGCCCCTCGAGGTCGCATGGCAGGGTGCACGCGGGGACGATCGGCGCGCAGGCACCACGCCCCCACCTGCACTGGCCACTACATGATGGCACAGGCGCAGCCGGGCAGCATCTTCTCGCTCACGCGCAGTGCCCCACTCTCCTCGATGGCCGCCAGAACGACGACGGCGTGCCGGATGGAGGGCCTGTCTGCCGGGTCACCCTCCAGGCACTTTTCAATCAGCTTCTTCAGCTGTGTGGGGAGCTTGTCTGCCAGGGGCATGCGGTAGCCCCCCTCCATCTGGGGATGAGGGGGCGTGTGTGGGCTGACGGGCAGAGACAGCAATTGGCAGAAGGGAGCATGGCATGAGCAAGAGTGTGGCGATAGGCTGAGACCACCGGCCTCGCTCTGGCGCTCACGAGCTATTTCCGTCTGTGCAACCCTCCCCACTCGTGCAGTGACCCACATCTCCCCTGCACCGATGCCATCCGCCATACTGTCATGATGGTGCCCAAAACCTGCCAATGAATCCGTCACGGCAGCCAGCGTCCTGTCCCAACCCCCCAAACTCCTTTGGCTCTGCCACGCACCTGACGCGCATACTCGGACGCGGCGGTGGACACGTTTTTGTTCTGGCCGTCAAAGTAGGCCACCAAGGACCGCTTCATGAAGAGCTCATACAGGATGATGCCAAATCCAAACACGTCCACCTTCTCGTCGTAAGACTCCTTTCGCAGCACCTCAGGCGGCAGGTAGCAGTAACTGCTGGTGTCGGAGACGGCGCTGAACACGTCCTCGGGGTCGTAGCTCAGCTTGGCGCCAGGGATGATTGTTCTGCTCAGCGAAAGGAGGTGGAGCGCGGAGTGGGTGTTACCCCAGAGCTTGACAAAACCAACAATGTAAGGCTCATAGCCCGGGTATGCTGATCGCGAGATGTGCGAGCGCCGCTTCAGGCGTCCCATGGCCATCGAAGCACAGTAAGCCTGCTTCTCCCTGCCTCCACCCAGCAGGCCACAGGCCCCTCCGCCGCACCCCCTGTGCTCCCTCCCTGCTCACGTGTGCGTGCCTAGGTCGCCCAGCTTCGCAATCAGCTTCCCGCCCTTCCCAGGTGCGGCATAGAGGAGCACGTTCTCCGCGCGAATCTGTCGATGCACCACCTGCGCTGAGTGGCAGGTGGAGAGGGGGACCATTCGTTCCTGCCAGACCCCAAGACACCCGGTACATCAACATGTGTTCCCCAGGCAGTCACGTGATCCTGGAGCCACACTTGGCCTCAACCAGTTCTTTGTCCCGCCCACGCAGCATCGACGGCAATGCTGTATCAGACAGCCCAGGGTCACCCCTTGGACCTCCTGCCATTGAAACCACATTCGCCCCCCCCGGTCGCCCTTCAGCATCACAGCCTGCCACTCAAACCCACCCTCGGCTTCTGTGCATGGAGTTCGGATATGCCGGAGCCGATCTGCCTCGCCCACTTGATGGCATCCTCGTAGTTGTACAGGACAACGCGCGGGTCCTCCATCTGCGCCTCCAGCAGGTCCTGCAGGGAGCCCCCCTCTGCATACTCCTGCATGAAGCATGGAGGGCACTCTTGAGCGCCCGACATCTCTGACAGTCGCATGGTGACCTTGAAATCAATCAGCACATCCCAGAAAGGCTGCCTGAGATGAGTGCTGGCGTCTCCACAGTGGCTGTGACCAATGGCAGATGCCAGGTGAGCACATGACACCTGGCACAAAGTAAGAGCATGCGATCAGCCAGCCTCTGACGCACCACCCAACCCACCATGACGAGGAACATGCTGGGCCACATCATGTCGGATCGGCTGCGCTCGCACCCTATGCCGATGAGCTTGGTGATGCCCCTGCGCAGCGAGATGAGGGTGCTGAGCGCGGGCGACATGGGTGGCAGCATGCAAGGGAGGGACAAACTGCATGCTCATGCCTTGTAGGACCTCAACCTCAGCTAGCCAATACCATCCCCCAGGTTGGTGCCGTTTACTGTTTACCCAGAGTGCAACAATGCACAGGCATTCACAACCTCACCCCTAGCCTCCCTCCACTCCATGATGCCCCTTGCTGCTCACCGAAAGTGTTCGAGCTGGAGAAGCAGCTCCGCCTCCCGGGCAAAGCATGTGATGTCCCTCTCGGTATAGGCGGACTGACGCAGGCGCTTGACGGCCACCTTGATGCCCGGGTCCTCCTCCTCCCCGACGCCCGGCTTCCTGAGCCTGGCGAGGTCCACGACACAGTAGGATCCCTTGGCCAGTCTCTTCACTTTCGTCAGCCTCGACGCAGGTATAAGATCTATGCCCTCGAAAAGGTCCCTGGGGCTCTGCACTCCCAGGTTGGCAGACACTCGCGCGGACAGGCGACGCAGGTTGACGGGGCCTCCCGACCCCGCCACCATGACATCGTCCCGCCGGTGGCCGTGGCCCTGCTTGCTCATATCCGGCGAGTTGGCATGTATTTTGGATTGTAGTTTCTGCGCGCCGTGCACCTGGGGACTCGTGGGCGGTCCTCCGATACCGTCGCGGAATGTGACGCATGGTGCGGTGCGTGCTGGGTGCCAGGTGCCTCACTCCTGACACTGCAGAGCTGGTTTGCAAGCTGGTCCCGGCCGCCGCCCTGGCGCAGCAGACAGTCACCTGCATGGTATAGCCCAATCCTGACTTGGAGGCGGCCCTTTTACAGCTGATGGAGCGAGCAGCTCGCATGTCACAACGCTAGTGCAGCGAGAAGCCAGCCCAGCGCACACTGCATTCGGAGCGGTCAGGGCCAGTCCTCCCTGCCGCTCTGCGCGGCGGGGGCTACCCATATGCGTATCGTCTTGTCGTCGGAGGCGGAGGCCATGAGGTAGTGGTTGACCGGATTCCAGGCCACCGCATTCACCGTCCCGGTGTGACCCTTGAGGATCTGCGCAGGATTGGTTGGGAGGAGTGGCGTGCGCGTCGATGGGCAGTCTGTGTGATGAGAGCCAGGGCTGACACCCTGCAGCCTGGTGAGGAGATCGCGAACAGCGGGCAGCATTCGTTCTGGCTCGAAATGCCCGGACGCAGGGCAAGGGTCGAGGCCTTCGCGCTGGACGCATACGAGGCTGCCAGAGCGACTCGGTGCGCTCACGGCACACGCGGGCACCGGCATCGCATCGGCGAGAGGACCTCCCCCCCCCCCCCCCCTTCCCCTCCTAGGGAACCCTCCAGGCAAGAGTGCCCCGCCCCTCACCGGACCCCCCCAACCTCCTCCTACCCCCGGCTTTCTTCCCCTTGGAAACCCCAGCAACCTACCTCGAGCAGATTGCCGGACTCACGGTGCCAGATGTGCACGGCGCCCTCCTCCCCGCCGCTGGCCACAAAGTTGTTGCGGTAGCCGCCTATCGCGGAGCGGATGACGAAGCGCCCGTGCTGCGCCTGGCCCACCCGGTACTCCTGCAGCGGCGCCTGTGCCAGGTGGTCCAACGGGTCGCCGGGGCGTGGCGCGTCGGGGCTGCCCTGGCCGCCGGCCGCCTGGCCCCCGGGGTCCGCCTCGCCCGGCGCCTCGCCGTCGCCGGGCAAGGCGGGCAGGGCCATGTCCCCCAGGGGCCAGAGGTGGATTGCGGCGGAGGCCAGGTTTGCCAGCAGGAAGGCGCCGTCGGAGGAGGGGGTGAGGCAGGTCACGGCCCCTGCCTCGCCCACGCTGGCCTCGCGGCCGTCGGCGAGGCGGTGGAAACGCAGGCGCTTGTCCTGGCCGACGGAGACCAGGGTCCCGCCGTCGGGGCTGACCGCGCAGTCGTAGACGTGCTGCGTCTGCTTCAGCCTGCGCTGTGTCACGCCGCGCACATCCACCACGTAGAGCGCCTTGTCCAGCAGCGCGGCCAGCAGGCGTGTGGAGTCCGGGAACCAGGCGGCGGCGGTGACCGCAAACTCGCCGCCCGCGCTGGCAGCGAAGCTGCACTCGTGCGCCAGCCGGCCCGAGGGCAGCGTGTAGAGGCGCACGCGTCCGTCGGCGCCGCTGGTCAGCACCCAGGCGTCGTCCGGGCTGAAGGCCACGGTGTTGACGGGGGAGGAGGAGCGCGTGAGGTGGCAGGCGTAGGTGACCCAGCCGCTCGGCGCCACGCGCCACAGCAGCGCGCAGCCGTCCTTGGAGGCCGAGGCCAGGAAGCGGCCGTCGTGGCTGAACTGCAGCGCCCACACCTCATCGCCGTGCATGTCCAGCGCCTGGCTGCAGCGCGTTGGCAGCTGCTCGGGGCCCGCCTGGAAGTCGGCAAACAGCGTCTGCTGCGGGTGCGGCGCGTTCACGTACTGGCAGGCCTCCGCCTGGGCCACCAGCGCCTGCTCCACCAGCTCCTCCAGCCGGCCCTCCGGGATGAGCAGGGAGGGCGGCAGCAGGTGCTGCAGCTCCGCCAGCAGCGCGTCGCGGGGCGGCGCTGCGCGCGGGGCACCGCCGCCGCCGCGCGCACCCACCAGCGCCCCCGCCAGCCCGTGCAGCACGCGGCGGTTGACGCCCAGGGGCGCCAGCTCGCAGCGCAGCGTGGCCAGCGCGGCGGCCAGGTCGCCCCGCGCCACGCACTCGCCGTACTTCTGGCGCGTGAGCAGGAAGCGGGCCTGGGAGGCGTCACCCTCGCTGGCGGTCAGGGAGGGGAGCAGGGCCAGGGCGCTGGACCAGTCGCCCCCGAGCACCGCGTCCCTGAAGTCGGTGGCCACCTGGGGCTGCATGCTGATGCCCTGCGGGGGTGTTTGGGGGGGAGGGGGGTTGCTAAACGACAGGAGATGGGAAAAGTGACTTCACACCGCCAGCACGGCGACCACAGGGAGCTATGCTGTAGCGGGAACGCCACACGGGGGGCCCCTTCGAAGCGATCCAGGGACGGTAGCACGCACCGACTCGGCCTCTAGCTGACTGGCGAGGGCGGGGTACCCGAGTCCGGCCAGAGCCTGCTCCAGCAGGCGGATGTACTCGGAGCGCAGGATCATGTGGCGCCCGCCTACATGCTGGGCATCGCCCGAGGGCAGGGGGGGGGCCATGCCTCCGGCTCCTGCACCTTCCCGGGACCAAGCGGACCCCTCAATGGTGTCGGGATCCTCTGTCGATACCATTGATGGGGCTCGAGGGGGTGGATGTGGGGTAGAGAGGGATGGGCCTGGCCATTGACGACACTCGTGCTGCAAAGCACGCGCGACACGCGAGCACAATGGCCGTCTAAGGAACCCATCTGTGGAGCAGACGTACCCACCATGCCGAAACTACATGCTGCAAACAAGCTACAACCATATACACGTCAAGAAGGATGGAACTGATGACCATTCTGACTGTTGGAGGATGACGACGTGATGCCATGCATCTGGAGTCCGTGACCACCCGTGTTGCACAGTCGCCACTGTGGACGCCCTCGTCCCGACAGCAGTCTGTGCGTTTCCAGGCCGGATCCAGGATGCAGAGACCTCAGGTCACGAGTGCCGCTGGATCGACAGTGCGCAGACCCATCCTCCTCATCGACATTATGGATACAGTGGGTGAGCACCCTCATGCTTGGCCTCGCCCATTCCTTGTACGCACCTCATTGGATTAGTCACCTCCGCACTGACCTACTGCAGTTCGTGATCCATTCTACGAGCACATGCCTGCCTTCTTTGGGATGACCTTTCAAGAGGTGACTGTGGGGTTTGCTGTTTGGAGGGCATGGGGAGTGGCGGCTGGCTAGCAAGTTCGCGCAGATATCAGCCACCTATCGGTCCCCTGTGAGATCTACACTGTCGTCGCTTGGGAAGTAGAATCCCCCACCTTGTCACCACCTCCCACTCCATCCCAAATCCAGTTGATGGAGGCCAAGCACCCCGAGTCCTGGGTCAAGTTTGAGCTGGGCCACATCTCAGAGCAGGATCTTTACGACAACTTCTGGAGGCCCGGGGCTGCCGGTGTGCCCTTTGATGGGGCTGCGCTCCGTGAGCACATGGTGAGTGGCGCCCGGTGCTCGCATGCCTGCATGCTGTTGTGTTCCTGGATGCAGATGTGCTGGTTCATCACCTTGTACTGCTGTGAAATGGCTGGGCTGTTCTTTGGGGTGAGCATGCCACATCATCCACAGAGAGTGAGCATTCTCAGAGCTGCTTCAACACCGCATGCAGCAGCCTGCAGGGCAGAGGCGTCAAGCAGCCGTCTGCAGCCTCGTCCACTCTGCAACTCTTCCTATCGCAGGCCTCCCGGTACAGCCTGCTCCCAGGGATGGCCGAGCTGCTGCAGCGTCTGGCCGCCGCCGGCTACGAGCTGCACGCCTGCAGCAATTACCCGACCTGGTGGCGGGAGGTTGAAGCACGCCTCCGCCTCGGCGACCTGCTGCCCTGGACCTTCCTCAGCTGCGAGGGGCCCATGCGCGGCCTGCGCAAGCCCGACCCCGCCGCCTTCCAGGCAGCCGCCCTGCATCTGGGGGTCCTGCCGGCAGACCTCCTTCTGGTGGATGACCGGGAGGTCAATGCCCAGGCGGCACGGGGTCACGGCATGCGGGCCGTGCGCTTTGTGGACACGGGCCGCTTGGAAGAAGAGCTCCAGGCCGCGGGTCTGGAATTCTGAGGGAACGCCTGAAACATCGCGTGTTGCTGACGCCTGCTGCCGGTTCCAGGGCATGGGCTTGGTCGTGACGACCCCTTGCAACCTTGCCATTACCAGTCTATCTTGGCCCGCCGCTCCTTCTTCTTGTCTGACTTGAACTTTTTGGCATTCAGCCGGCTCTCATTGCCACGCTGCTTCCTGGAGGGAGAGGGGAAGGAGATTCGAAACAGTGAGTGCTCATTCGGCTGAAAAAGGGAATCGCAGGCAGGCGTGCAGTGGGGCACGAACAAATGCAAGGCACGCCCACTCCTCGAGCCCCCATCAAGACGCACTGCTTCTCCAGCTTCTTCTTCTTGGCCGGGTCCTCCTCGATGGGCTGGATGCTCTCCCAGGCCCCATCCAGGGCCTGCTGCAGCTTCTGCAGCGCATCCTCGATGTTGTCCCTGCGGGTCAATACGTGAGTGAGGAAGCTGGTGGCGTGTGATGATGGTCTTCTCCCTTGGGGTAATCGGCGAGCCTCATACAGGCATCGGTGGACCGCTTCACACCCTATCACCACCCAACGCACGCTTGGGAGCGGGTGAGCTGGGAGGTGATGACAAACTCCCCCTCCTTGTTGATGCGGCCGTGCTCCAGCCGCCGCAGCGCGGCACCCACATCGGGGTGGAGCCAGTCGGCCCGACCCAGGGCCAGGCGCATGTCCACCTTGGTGTTCACCTTGTTCACATTCTGGCCGCCGGCTCCTGAGCTCCTCGCAAACTTGATCTGGACGTCATCTGCATGGGCACCGAGCAGGGGCAGGGACGTGGGGAGTCGTAGTCTTCTTGGATGAGGGCATGGGCGCCGCCTGCAGGGGAATGGGACTACCGAGCTCCAGGGAGGGGCCCAGGCGCGGCTGACCTCTGCCTATGCGTTTGACGGGGGGCACCTCCGGCTCCTTTGTACCGGCCATGCATCGCAGCGGCTGGCGCGGGCGGCAGCTCCAGATCGGGCACCTGGCCAGCACCAGGGCGGGGCTGGGACACGGCAGGTGCAGGCCCTGGGACCTGAAGAGCGATGTGAGGGACAGCATCGACCGCATTTGAGGTGCGAACGGCATCCATTCAATGTACCTCCAAAGGGACTGCAGGCTAATCGCTCTGCAGTGGCGCTGGAGCAGTTTGGTGGGGATTAGGACCGCGCAGCACGCGCCTCATCCCCTCCCCGTGCCTCTCCATTCGCAGACCTGCGTCCGTGCCCGGCAACCCACCCTGTCGCACGAGCGATCCCACGCGCCAGCGGCGAGCCGGCCCAAGATCAAGTTCATTATATTGAGATCGCCACACGATTGCCCACTCATCCAGATCGGGCTGCATTCCCATCTGCCGGGCACTGCGCCCCTCCACCTCGAGGTGCCCTGCGGGGCCTGTTGAGAAAGCCCAGCCCCTCCCTGGACGGCAGGGCGCCATGGCGGATCAACTCCTCCAGGCCGTGCACGCCCTGTACCAGAACCCCGACCCCAGCGTGAAGGAGCAGGCCAACGCCTGGCTGGACGCCTGGCAGCAGTCCCCGGAGGCCTGGGCGGTGTCGGATGCGGTGCTGGCCCGGCCCGACGCGGGGCTGGAGGCCCGGTACCTCTGCGCCCAGACCCTGCGCACCAAGATCACGCGGGACTACGAGGAGCTGCCCCCCTCCGCGGTGCCCAGTCTGCGCGACAGCCTGCTGCGCATGCTGTTGGCCACGCGCGACGGCCACGCCGCCACGCGCACGCAGCTGTGCCTGGCCCTGGCCTCCCTGGCGGCCCACCTCCCCGCCGACCAGTGGGCGCCGGCGGGCGGCGGGGTGCTGGCCTGGGCGGAGGCCGCGCTGCTGTCCGGTCCCGTCCCCGCCTGGCCGCTGGCGGTGGAGCTGGCGGGCATGCTGGCGGCGGAGGGCGCCAGCTTCCAGCCCTCCCTGCGCCCTGCCCGCCGCCGCGCCTTCCTGGAGGAGCTGCTGGCCGCGCTGCCGCGCGCGCTGGGCCTGCTGGGCGCCGCGCTGGGCCGCCCCGGCGTCGACGCCGGCGCGACGCTGGACGCCTTTGCTGCCTGGCTGCGCCTGGGCGCGACCAACGGCGGCGTACCCGCCCCGGCGCTGGCCTCCGCCGGCGCGCTGGTCGACGCCACGCTGGCGGGGCTGGATGCCGACGGCGAGGACGACCTGCTGTACCAGGCGGTGGAGGCCACTGTGGAGCTGGTGTACTGCGGCGCGGCGCGCGGCGCGCCCCGCCCCGAGCTCGCCGATCTGGCTGGGCGCATCGTGAGCCGGGTCATGGCCCTGCGCCCGCGCTTCCACGTCTGCTGCGCCGCCGCCCGCGCCGAGGCGGGCGGGGGGGTGCCGGGCGCCGACGATGACAGCGAGGAGGCCAAGGCCCTGGCCCGCCTCTTCGCCGAGGTGGGGGAGGCCTACACTGAGCTCATAGCCACGGGTGAGCGGATAGGGGAGTGGGGGGGTTACCCACTTTTGATTTGGGGTGTGTCTCGTATCTGGGCATCGAGTGGGTGGGGCCCGGAACGCAGCGGCTGAGTAACGCCCTGAGTGGAAGCGTTTGGGGGGGACGGTGGTTGCTCAAGGAAAGGTGGCTCGAAGGATGTTTCTGCCGAGCAGCGTGTTGTGTCTAAAGATGGAGCTGGCACATATATTGATGAGGGAGATGTTGGGACCAGCCGGCCTTACTGCCCGGCGTGCCTCATGGTGTGCCCCAGCCCATCCAAGTGTTTGATTCCCCTCTGAAAACAACCCACACCCACCCCCTCGCATGGCAGGCACGCCGCAGGTGATGGGCCCGCTGGAGGCCATCCTGGACGTGGCGGCGCACCCCTCGGACAACATCGCCTCCATGTCCTTCAACTTCTGGCACCGCCTGTCGCGCGTGCTGACCTCGGGCCTGCAGCCGCAGCCCATCGGCAGTGGGGGGGCGCAGGAGGGCGCGCTGGCCCCGGAGGAGTCGCGGCGGCGCCTCGCCGTCTTCGCGCCCGTCTTCGAGCGCCTGGTGGGCATGGTGCGCGGCCGGGTCAGGTTCCCGGACCTCTTCGACTCCTGGCACCGCGACGAGCAGGCCGACTTCAAGCGCGCCAGGTGCTGAAAGGGGTGATGCATCTTGGGGGGAGGAGCAGGATGGGAGGGAAGGGGTGCTCGTGCGGGGCTCTGGGACGAGCTTGCGCAGACGAGGTGAGGCGCGGGCCCAAGATTCAAGTGCCCAAAGGACTCCCTGCACTCCACCTTCACTCGTTTCAACCCCCAGCCCCCCTCCCATTTCCCACACTCACCATCACGCCTGCCAACCACATCACTCTCACCCCCCCCTCAATCCCCCGCCGCGGGCAGGGTGGGCGTGGGGGATACGCTGATCGACGCGGCCACCGTGCTCGGCGGTGAGGCCATGCTGCGCCTGCTGGCCGAGCCGCTGTTGGCGCTGAGCGCCGAGGTGGCGCGCGGCGCGCCGCTGGACTGGCGCGGCGCGGAGGCCGCGCTGTACTGCATCCGTGCCGTGCACCGCTTCGCGCCGCCACCCGGCGACGCGCTGCTGGCCGCGCTGTTCGCCGCGCTGCCGGGGCTGCCGGCGCCGCCGCCAGCGCTGGCCTACACGGTCGCGCTGACCATCGGCGCCTACGCGGACTGGCTGGCGGCCAGCGCCGCGCTGCCGGGCGGCGGCGGCGCCCAGGTCGGCCCCCTCCTGCGCCTGCTGGTGGCGGGGCTGGGCAGCCCCGAGGCCAGCTCCGCCGCCGCGCTGTCCATCCGGCGCTTGTGCGAGGGCGCGGCGGCGCAGCTGGCCCCGGAGCTCCCGGCCCTCCTCCGTATGTTTGCCGAGATCCAGGGGTCGGGCGACGTCGCCCAGAACGCCTACGAGCAGTATGACCTGGACGAGGAGGACGTGCAGCAGGTCGACTCATTGTTCTCAGGGGACCATTGGCTGTGTTGTGTTGTTGCTGTTGTATCGAGGGGGGGGGGGCACTATGTAGATGTTGGAATCCCCCAGAGATGCATGCAAACCACACCTGCACACAAGCCGGCACCGCCACCCAACCATCAACCTCCTCCGCTCCTCCCCCTCATCCATCCAGCTGATCGTGGGCATCACCACGGTGAGCAATACGCTGGCGCCGGGCGCCCAGGCGGCATGCCTGTCGCAGCTGCTGGAGACGCTTGTGGCGCCCATGCAGGCTGCGCTGGCGCGCGCTGCGGCCGCGACACGTGCCGGCGCCGAGCCGGGCGCCGAGTCCGGGCTGGGGCTGGTGGTGCCGCTCATGGAGCGCACCACCACCGTCTTCCGCTCCAGCAGCGACCGCGCCGCGGTCGGCCAGGCGCTGGTCCAGCTCTGGCCCACCATTGAGGCGGCCTTGGGTGCGTGTGTGTGTGGGGG